AAGAAGTAGAGAAGGAACAAGATTAAGAGAAATAAAACTAGCTAATCCTTTAGCGGCACCATTAGAAGCACGGCGCACATAGTGATCAGCGACGATGGGATGAGAGTCAAGTAAACAAGGATGAATCCAAGAACAGAATGGTCCGTGTGAGGATGTGCCAACTGCTGTTAAAAATTGAATACATGATAACACAACTTATTTCTTAGAAAGTTAAAGGTTGTACAAATAACCCAAAAATCAAAATGAATCCAGTCTTAACTTTCCATCTGGTACCTGTCCCGAAGGAAATGAATATCCTGAGCCATAGTTTACCACAAATAATCATTGGTTTGGCACCAAACTTCTACAGCACATTGTACAAATCTGTGTGGCTGTGTTTGCAGTCTCCTGTTTCTTTACCATTTTGTCTAATCAAGCAGTTTGGTAGCCCTTGACTTTAGGCTTCTGCTAATTAACCACAGATAAAAGGTTTGTGAATTCAATGATAGAGTTTGGCTTTGGTTTGCATTAACCATTATCATCTTCCACTAAAGAGACTTTGCCAGTAATTAACCCCTAATGCTTTAATCAGAGTTATAGTTTTAGGGTAATATTCCTTTTGACATCATCTGCCCCATGTCAAGTTTATGGTGCAATAATCATGCATAATCATTTGAGTTTGTTCCAAACTCCACTGCTTCGGCCAGGCCTTGTGCCTAAGGGATTTGACCAGCAAGATGAACCCTGCAATATATTGGGCCAAAAGTTTTTGTTCTTCGGCAACAGGTCAAGGTACCAGTGGCTTTATACATGCTCCTGTGGATCAAACTCTTCGTCTGTTCAATGTAGGGGTGTGCAAATCGGGTATCCGGATTTTTAGGTATTCGATTACCGGGTACCCGTAACATCTAGATCAATGATTTCTTGGCCCGTGTCTCAATCCGGATTTTGCGGGTACCCGTTTTTTTTTCATTTTCAAATTATTAATTTAAAAAAATATACATAAATTTAAATGTTCAAAATTTCGAATTACATACTCTAACATCCGAATATAAAATTTAAAAGTCCGAAATATAAAATCTAATAATTCATAATATAAATAATCTATTATATTATATATATATATAACAATAAAAATAAAAACTAATCGGATACTCGGGTAACCGAGCCGGATACCCGAAAAAACTCAATTTTGTGACCCATACCTGACCCTGGAGATGTCGGGCCGGGTACCCGACCCTGTCGGATACTTTTTTAAAAAAAATACTCAATTTTTTTAAGTTCAGATCGGCGAATCAAATTAATCGGGTCGAATATTTTTACACACCCCTTAATTCAATAATTGTCTTGTCACAGAATCTAACCATCTCTTTTCCCATGAAATCAGTCTCGTAATGGAATTCGATTCTCATGATGGAATATACACTAAAATGAGTGGGATTATCAGAAACTTGGTCCTTCCATGTGCCGATTCGACAACTACTCAAGGGTACTGTATGTAAGAATAGATTTATCCAATGTATTAAAATCCCATTGAAACAGTAACATCTCTCAACATCCCCCTAAATTGTACAGAAAGTCGGAGGTCAAGATATTATATATACTATTTTTGAATATAAGAGAATGTTTGTTTGGTTGCAATTAATTTTATAGAGATTGAATTCTGAAAAATAAATTGATTTTATAGAGATTGAATTCTGAAAAACATTTAAAAAATATTTTACGATATTTGGAAAATGTTGTTTAAATATTTTTTTCCACTAATTTATTAGTTTTTTAAAAATTATTTATTATAAATATTAAATATAATAAATAATATTATTTATCATAAAACTTAATATTATTATTTTTAAAATATTTTATTTATTATTAAATATTATTTTTATAATTTTATTAATAAAAATATTAATATTGGTATATTCTATTGAAATGAAAATATTATAAATGATATTAATTATTTATTAAAGTAATAGTGTTACATTATATTTTAAAAATATTAAGTATTATATTTTAAATATATTTATTAAAATATTATTAGATTATTATATTAATATTAAATATATAAATAATATTATTTATTATTAATAATTTAATATTCTATGAAATTAATAAATAATATAATTTTTTTAATAATTTATTATATATTATTAAAATAAAAATATAATATAATATATTATTATAATATAATTGATTATTTTTATTATATTATTAAAAATATAATATTATATTATTAGAAATATTAATAAATATATTTTAAATATTTTAATTAAAATGATATTAAAATATTTTATTAATATTAAATTCATAAAATAAAATTATTTTGAGTATTTATTCTTTAAAGTGAAAAGTTCGGAAAATGACTTAGGGAAAATCTTCCAGAAAACACAAAGGAAATTCTGTTGACCAGGAAAATATTTTACGTTGACCAACCAGTTTTCTACCAACCAAACACTGGAAAATATTTTTCGAAAAATAAATTACGTAAAACAAACATGAGAAAATATTTTTAAAAAAACGAATTACGTGAAACAAAAATAAAATTTCGATAAAAATTAATTCTGTAATTAGTTTTCCCCTAAACAAATACAACCTAAGCCTTCAATCCGAAATCAACAAGCTCTCGTAGCTTAGTTGGTTAGAGCATCCGTTTAGTAAGCAGAAGGTCTTAAGTTTTATTCTCAACGAGAGCATGCAACGTGGGACCCCATCTCAGAGGCAAAATGCAGAGTCAGCAGATTGGAACGAGAGCCACTGTACACAACTCATCCAGCTGAAAGCGGGCAAACAACGTGGAACCTACTTCATTGAAAATTAACCTGTCGGTAGATTTCCCATCAAATCCCCACACTTTATGTTAAAAAACAAATTAAACTACGTACCTTTTTCTTTTTTCATCTTTGAACAAAATTAAATGCCCCCTTGGCGCAACAACCGCTTAGGTGCCCATCAATACCTTTGACCTTGGACCTTTTCGTTGCCCTTTAACATAATAGGACTAAAATCATAGTTATACTTGTTATACCTTCGAACCATCATCTTTGTAAACTATCACCTCTTTGTCAATCACTAGAGCCTACAAAGAAACCTTCGAACATAAGCCTTTAAACAGTTATAGACTTACAGTTTATAGACAGTATTTACGAATAAAACATTTCAATCACGTAATTCGTCAAAATAAAATTTAAGAAATAATTAATAATAGTTTTATTTAATTTATCGATTTAAAAAATAGTTATAATGATCATAAGATTAATATGAATACACTAAAATTATTATAAATACTTTCAATCTATATTAAAATAAGAGAATAACTATACATAATCGATCGATCTTTCTTCTCATCATGATAATTCACTTTCTTCTTTTTCCAAATGTCAACCCATAACTGTTTTTTCACGTATTACGATTCTCTACCTAATCTTTGATCGTATACATTTTGTAAAATTATTTATTAATTTATAGAATGTATAACACATAGCATGTAATTGCAACTCCGAAGAGCCTGAAATTCATGTAAAGGGAAATCAACATTGGCGCAGTTAATCTGATGCGAAATCACTCCTTGGTATTCAAATTCACATTGTTAGTGTCGGTTGAGTGTTCATATTTGTATGATTTTCCTTTCCCAACCAGTCTTATTCAGTTCGGTATGCCTCTCATAAATTGTGTATTTCAATCCACTCATTCCTTTTTATTTTTAATCATTGTGTTTTAATTTAATCGATTCTTTTAAAAATTATTTTTTTACATAAATTTATTCAAGTAGTTTATTCTTTTGAAATTTTGTTTTATTAATTTAATTACCCTTTTTGAAAATATTTCTAGATTTAATAACGAAGGGGAGACCATTAATCCGACGGTCATCATTAATCATCATATGCCTTAAACGGTGAGAAATTATTCCGTCTCATTATAATACCATAAGCCCTCAACTACTCCGTTCCTCTCCTCGAAATCATAGAAAGCAACTCCCACCATTGCTTTTAATTATTAAAAATGAAAAGGAAAAGGAAAAATCTCACTTATATGATTTATAAACAGTCAAAGTTTCTATTTGGCCCTTTAAATACGATTCAATTTGAGATTTAGACCTTATTCTTTTTTTTAATGAGAAAGAAAAGGCCCAAGGACCAGTACAACCTATAAAGAACTAAGCAGAGGTAACGCCACGATATGGAAGGCCATGTCCCTCTTATAAAAGGTGAACAAAATTGTAGATTCGTACAAATAATTTTTTAACTCGATTTAATATTAAAATATTTAATTTAATTTGATTTTATTTGTAATTTCATAAATTTAATTTGAGAAGTTTTTAAATAAAATTTGAGTTATAAAAAAAGATTTAAATAATTCAAATTTTGAGTTATAAAATAAGATTTAAATAATTCAAAATTTGAGTTATAAAAAATATGGAGATATATATATGATTATAAAAAGTCAAGTTAAAATGAATTAGTATCATAATATTATAAATATTTATAATTAAATTTAAACAAAAAATTAAACAATTCGACTCGAAAAAATTCAAATAAAATTTGAGTTATAAAATAAAACCCGTCAACTTGACTAACTCAAAATTTTTAACCGGACTAGACTCAATCAAATGCTTATCCCTATCTCTTATCATACAGTTTATTAGATATAATTTGATCTATCTATTTTTGTAAATATCATTAATTAGTTTAATTAATTATTCTGTTTAAAATATTGACACATATTTTTTCTTTGAAAAACACTCGTTCTTAAGAAAAACAGTATCAACATTCTAGTCAAAATAAATTACGATATTAACTATTTAAATTAATTAACAAGATTATAAAAGTAAAGAGACTGGATTGGAAATTTGAGCATAGTAGAGGGACACAAATCAAATTGGAACCTTTTTAAACAGTCAAATGAAGCCGTTTTGTCGTTGATTAATTGGGGTTGAGGGATTAACTGCTGTTTTAATTTATTAAAAAAGTAAATAATATAATTAAATAATTAAATAATTTCTTATAACACTCTCTTCTCCGTGAACTCACTCACTTCACTCCACTCTTTCAATGGCGACGTTAATCTCCAGTTTTGTTCCTCTGTTTCTTCTTCTTTCGATTTCCTCTAGTTTCTGGATATCGTTTTCCAGTGATGAAACTATTAAAACCTTCATCTTTCGTGTAGATTCTCATTCAAAGCCGTCCATTTTCCCCACACACTACCACTGGTACACTTCCGAGTTCGCCGAGCCAACTCGCATCCTCCATACATACGACACCGTCTTCCATGGCTTCTCGGCGTCTTTAACGGAAACCCATGCTGCTTCCCTCAGTAACCATCCTTCGGTTCTTGCTGTTTTCGAAGATCGGCGCCGAGAACTTCACACAACTCGCTCCCCTCAGTTCCTCGGCCTCCGGAACCAGCACGGGCTTTGGTCGGACTCCGATTATGGATCCGATGTCATAATCGGAGTGTTCGACACTGGGGTCTGGCCCGAACGACGGAGCTTCTCGGACACGAATCTCGGTCCGGTTCCTGCTCGCTGGAAAGGGGTGTGTCAAACCGGAGCCAGATTTGTTGCTAAAAACTGTAACCGAAAACTAATCGGTGCGAGATTCTTCTCTAAAGGTCATGAAGCGGCCGCTGGACCGGGTGGTCCGATTGCTGGAATTAACCAAACGATCGAGTTTATGTCGCCGAGAGATGCTGACGGTCACGGAACTCACACGGCCTCTACGGCCGCCGGGAGAAATGCATTTCGCGCCAGCATGGGAGGTTACGCTGCCGGAATAGCAAAAGGCGTGGCTCCGAAAGCAAGACTGGCGGTTTACAAAGTCTGTTGGAAGAATTCAGGCTGTTTTGATTCTGACATTTTAGCCGCTTTCGATGCTGCCGTTAACGATGGTGTCGACGTGATTTCGATTTCGGTCGGTGGCGGAGACGGAATCTCCACTCCGTATTATCTCGATCCCATCGCAATTGGAGCATACGGCGCGGTTTCGCGAGGGGTATTTGTTTCATCCTCGGCTGGAAACGATGGGCCTAACATAATGTCGGTTACCAACCTTGCTCCTTGGTTGGTTACTGTTGGAGCTGGAACAATTGACCGGAATTTCCCGGCGGACGTTGTCCTCAGTGATGGGCGGAGGTTAAACGGCGTGTCGTTGTACTCTGGCGTGCAGTTAAAAGGAAAGATGTACCCCGTGGTTTATCCAGGAAAATCTGGGGAGCTCTCAACTTCTTTATGCATGGAGAATTCTCTTGATCCTAACGTTGTTAAGGGAAAAATCGTGATCTGTGATCGAGGGAGTAACCCAAGGGTGGCTAAAGGCATGGTTGTGAAGGAAGCCGGTGGTGTCGGCATGATTCTTGCAAACGGTGCTTCAAATGGTGAAGGTTTGGTCGGTGATGCTCATCTTTTGCCCGCTTGTGCTCTCGGGTCCGATGAAGGGGATGCGGTGAAAAAATATGTTTCGTCGTCGCCGAATCCGATAGCTACTATTGATGTTAAGGGTACTGTGATTGGCATCAAGCCAGCCCCTGTTGTGGCTTCCTTTTCTGCGAGAGGACCCAATGGGTTAAACCCTGAAATTCTTAAGCCGGATTTGATTGCTCCCGGGGTTAACATTTTGGCTGCTTGGACTGACGCTGTCGGCCCGACCGGGTTGGACACCGATCCGAGGAAAACAGAGTTTAACATTCTGTCAGGAACCTCCATGGCTTGCCCTCATGTTAGTGGTGCAGCGGCTTTGCTTAAGTCGGCACACCCTGATTGGAGTCCGGCTGCAATTCGATCCGCCATGATGACTACTGCAAGTATAACCGATAATACAAATCGGCCTATGATTGATGAAGCAACAGGGAAGCCATCCACTCCTTACGATTTCGGTGCCGGCAATCTCAATCTCAATCACGCAATGGATCCGGGACTTATTTACGACATTACTAATAGTGATTACGAGATCTTCTTGTGTGCTATCGGTTATAATCCTAAGTTAGTACAAGTTGTCACGAGGTCTCCGGTGGCTTGTCCAATGAAGAAGCCATTGCCCGAGAACCTTAACTACCCTTCAATTGCTGCATTGTTTTCAACCACATCAAGGGGTCCATCGAGCAAGACGTTTCTAAGGACCGTGACTAATGTGGGTCAGGCAAATGCCGTCTATGTCACGAAGATAGCGGCACCGAGAGGGGTTACCGTGACGGTGAAGCCGATGAAGCTGGTGTTCACACCAGCAGTGAAGAAGATAAGCTTTTTCGTGACCATAACAGCAGATAGTAAGCATCTGGTGTTGGATGATGCAGGAGCTGTTTTCGGGTCACTGACATGGACAGATGGGAATAACACGCATGTGGTGAGGATCCCCATCGTCGTTACTCAACTCGATCCTTTGTAAACCAGTAAGCTTGGGATTTCGATCGATCAATGTAGGTCTTGATCGGTATGAATGAGTGGGGTAACTGAGTTTTTAAGGTAGCACAAGTGTAGAACTTAGTGAAGCACTTTGTTCCCTTTTTGTGTGCTTTGTTTTGTTCATCTTTGGCAGGGGTAGAGGATTAGGGGAGTCCTTAAAAAAGAAAAAGAAAAAAGCAGGGTTTGAGGGGTGATTTAGTGCTGGTTTTTTACTTTAATTTCTCTTCATTATATATATTGTATTTATAAAGTTTAAGAAGATTATGCAAGACAGAATAGTTTGAAGTTATGAGAGAAAGAAGTTCCCATCAATGTTCAGTCAACTGCTCTGCTGACTTTTGTTTTGTTTTAAATCATTAACGGAAGCGGTAGTTGAAAAGGTTTTCACTATTGGTTTTCCTAGTAATTGATCGGTTCATGTATGGAAATTGGTAATGGTGGAAATCTAGCTGTTTTCTGCCTTCAGTCATTCTGTTTACTCCGCTAATTAAGGGAGGCAAGGCATTCCCCATTTCCATTGCAAACATCTGTAGATACATTTACTCGAATATGAGATTCTCTTCTAACATTAATACACGTGAATGTGTTCTTTTGTGAGAAATTATGGTTCATGGAGCAGGGGGACATTTTGAGTAAAGAGTGGGTGGAGCACATTAAATTTGTACACATCAGTCACTGTTGAGCCATGAAATAATATTAATGGAGTAGGGGCATTTTCTGTGGGACAAAATTCTCAGTTTCTATGTAATAGATAAAGTCCAACATAATAAGTGTCAGTTTGGGACACTTTTCTTACTTTTCTTTTTCAATTCCTTTGGCTGGCTGGCTGGCTGTGATGAATTAGGGGAATTTCTTGACTTTTGTTTGGAATGGAGAAGAAAGATCCTACACAAATTTGGACCCTAGCTCCTTTGTTTCCGGGGAAAAGGTTTGCTTGCAACTCACGTTCCAGCTTTTGTGTGTTTAAAATCCAACATTTGATATTCGCATGATTTAATTTATAAACTGAGATTTTTTTAATAATTTATGATATAATATCAAGAAATGACTATTTAGCTCAGTTGGTAGAGCACAAGGTTTTTAATCTTGAGGTCGTGGGATCGAGTCTCATGGAGGATATTTCAATATGGAGATCTCTCACGGAAACTGATCTCAACCTGGCATTGGGGGCAACCTATTATCTCTCCCTTATCCCATTACATATATGAATAAGGGTCAGTTAATTTTTTTTATGATATAATATCAAAATTAATCTTTAATGTTTGATTGAATACTCCTTTGGAAACTTCTTCTCCCGTAATCCTCGACCCCTTCCTTGGAGTGCAGCTGCTGAGTCATGACGCGAGGTTGTTACAGCCTCCAGCTTTCTGGTGTCCTCAGCAACTACCCCGGTCGTAACACAATATCAACCAGCGGTAAGGGATGTAAAATCGGAATCCAGTCAAAAGATTTCCGGGAGAGAGATCATCAAAGGCTGCATACCCAAAAGCAACCAGAGAGAAAGTAAAACGCAGTTGTTACAATCATGCTGAATAAAGTAGCCTTCTTCACTGTCTTGTACTCTGCTGGAGGCGATTTTACTGTATCATGCAGCAAGAACATGCCATGTTAAGTTATACGCAACATTTCTACGTTATGAAGTACGAATACCTGAGTTTCAATAAGGATTACATAGTAAGAATATGCAAAAGCAATAGCTCCAAGAGCTTGCGAAGTCCTCCATATCTTCTGCATATAAGTAACAGTTCCAGCATGTTCCGTGTTCTGCAAGGATGAATTTTGATGTTTGTTTCTCTTCAGATATCCAAAATGCTATACGGATGGCGCCGGTAAAGTACTATCCATGTTCAGTACCTGCAACTTTGCCAATGCCAAGTCCGACAACAACCATGGAATACATAAATGACATGATAGCTGCCACCATGGAGAGCCACCATGCATACTAAAGTTTGATATATGAGAAAACAGCACTTCTGCGATACCAGATTATATCATATACCAGTTACTCACACATGACACAATCTTTCCACCACTCCTGTGGAGACAGTTCGATCTCTTGATCGCCCTAAACAAGCACGGTACAAGGAATCACATCACATAGACTTGTTCTTAGTGCTTTGAAAGTAATGAAATTCTGAAAGCAGAGAAGAGTATTTGATGAATTTAGACAATATAACTCACATCATACTCACTGGTGCATCTATTGTATACCCAACTGCAGCACCAAACAAATTCAGGTACTGGATCCATTCACATGACATTCCATCTTCCAGCAATAACAAAATATACCAATAATATCGGCAGGATACAGTTATATCGTCATGATTTTTGCATGATAATAGCGCCGGGACAGTTACCTAAGTGTGCCATGACAGCTTCCATGTAGGTGTAGTTTCTTTGTGCGGTTATAGGGTCACCAAACCTATAATATTCTTGTGGAGGATGGAAGTGTAGAGATTGACAAAGGCGATAAGTACCAGGACAGTTGGTTCTGCAACCCAACCAAGCTGCATATAGGCCCAAGCGAATGGCAGAACACCAGGCCCGATGACCGCAGTTATAATGTGCGATGTTGTGGTCCAAAAAGTGTCTACATCCAGGTATTGGCAAAAGGGTTATAAGCATATTAGATTTCAAAGGAAGTGTTGGATATAAGCAGCAATTATATATATTATAGAGCTATGGTGCGTTCTGCTTGGACTTGTGCATGTAACACGTTTTCATATAAAGAAAAATCTCAGTTTTACACCCAAGTACATAACATAATAATTTTCGTATTAAGCATTTTAGCTTCCAATGTTTCAATTTTTGGTCAAAATAATTCATGTTGGATGAGAACTTTTAAATGACTAACGATCAACGCATATTACTGACGTGACATTTTCATAGGTACTTAATTGTTGACATGTCACATGCCACATCATCCAAGATAATGATGTGGCATGTTCTATGTCACCCAAGGTGATTATGTATCATTGACGTGTCAGTAATTAAGCACGTATGAGAATATCACGTTAGCAACATGCGTTAACTATTAGTCAATTAACGATTTTAATCTAATATGAGTCATTTAGACCAAAAATTGAAATGTTAAATTTAAAATGCTAAAGAAATTCTAAATTATTCATTTAGATAAACGTTGGAAGATAATTTTGGCATTATATTATAAATAAATAAATGAAGCAATGAAACTGAATGTTAGATAGTGACAGATCCACAACATTCATAGAGTGGACATGTGTCTATCCTGAAATTCGAGTTTTCTTCGGTTAGTTACATATTTTATTGTTGTCCATACCAGATATTTTATTTATATCTACTCTATTAAAAAAAATTATGTTGTTAATATATATGTAATTATTCTTCAAAATATTTCTAAATCTGTCACTTGTATCATACAATTGAAGTCCGTGAGGATCCATTGTTGGCCTCCAACAGAAATATACGCAAAGCAGTGTTGAAGTAAGCTCTGCGTGTGCATGTTATTTGCAGGGCCAATAGTCCAATTTCTCTTGAAATTATCACTAAGAATTTGTGTTTTAGCCCTAATGCTGGAAAAAGGTGTTGGGATATTTCTCTGTCTTGGTTAGTGCAGATTCAACAACCTAAGTAGGATGAGTCGTAGGGTGGATGGAGGTAATTGTTCTCCCTTAAATTCTCTTATATTTTATATATTTTCTATTAATAATATATTTTTTTCATCTAAAATTTTATAAATTTACTCTCTAACATAATTTTTTATGTCCGTCTCCGTAAGTGGACGAAGAAATCTGCTTGCTTGTAAGGTTCCCCTTTTTACATTAAAGTTTACCAACTGGAACCCCATAGATTGAGCTAATCATATGTTAGTATTACTTTTAAATCCCATTTTGGCACATACCTAATAATTTGATGTGCAAAATCTAATACACCATCGTCACAAATCAAATCTAACACCAAACCAGATATTTGTTTGTCTCGTACGTCAATACGAAAAATAATAATTCGAGAAAAAATATTAAATATATCATCTTGAACACACGTATATAATATTGTTCGTTCTAATGCAAAATTGAAATTCTTACTTAATCAACTTAAACCTAAATTACCCTCAAACATTATTAAAAAATCAATCATTTGGATTCGTCCAACCAAAACTTGATAGGATCATACCTCAAATTATCAGAACAAGTATTTCAAAATGATTGGAACTTTTAATGATTAGAACTCAAAATATTTCATACTCGTGATGATCCCGTCCAATAAACTCGAGCCTTCGAAATTACCAAAAAAAATTATTGATTAGGGAAAGGGAAGTATGTTCAATGGGTTATGGGTTAGTATTCAAATATTGTTACTTTTATTAGTCTGCTAATTCAAAACTTTACATTTCCTTAGCCAAAACTTAGTTCAACCGTTGGAGTTAATAAAATGTCAAATAATGGTTTTAGTTTCTCTACTACGTTCAAATTCAGTTAAAATTTTAGTTTGAGTCATTACACTTTAATTTGACATAATTGATCCATTTACTTTTAAAACATCATTACTGAGTCTAGATAATCAACATTATATCCAACGTATCATGTCGATATAGATTTTTTTTGTGTTGAAAGAACACGAAAAAAAATATAATAATCCAATTAATCCATATAAGACGTGACATTTAAAAAATCGAATATTTTAAGTTTTTAAAAGAAAAAGGGTTAGATAGATAATGTTGGGCAGGTAGGGAGATTTATGTGGACAACAAAATGGGGGTGTGGGGATAGCATTAGGGAATAGTTCATGCATAAGAAGGTGATGGAATTATATAAGTATTGCTTTGGGGAACCATCGCCTTCAAAACGAAGGGTGAATGCCCTCCACCTAACCATTTCCAGCCCCTAAACATCTCTATCTGCACCCACACACTTCCATATTCATTAATTGCTCTCTCACTTATGCTTATCCTTTTATGATCATTATTATTCATGGGCTTCTCACCAAACTCTGTTAAACTTTTTTCCCCCCACCAGCTAGGGTTTTGCTATCTTCAGCCCTAAAGATGTAATCTAAGGATGCCTTAAAGATGTTGGATTTAAGAGTTATAACCAGAATTTTCAGCCCTCAAATTAATTATTGTACGATTAGTTGAATCTTTCATGAGTTAATTGCTTTAAATTATTATGTTTAGTGAATTATACGTGACATGACAAAATACTTAATTTTGACATTTCGTCTGATAAAAGTCTCATATCCATTTTTTAACAACACACCTAATATTTAAAAACTCATTTGTTGTTAATTTAAATTATCTCTAACAATAGT